CACGTGAGGGACTGGAGTTGATGCTGGAGCAGAAGGAGGGGGGAGCTTTGGCTGTGGAAATATGCAATGGCTTCCATCCACAGAGACTCAAGGTGGGGTTATTCTTACCCACACAATCACAACATCAGCCCCCAGAATCTATTCTTGCAACCTGTTCCCGGGAGGAAAGGGGCTATGAGATTGAAGGAGATTGTGACTTGTCTACTTCCTAGATAATTACGACACACTTTGAGTTTCAGAATGTGGAAACTTTCCCTTAAATTGTTCCCTAAAGAAAAGGATGACACTTATGTGGAACCAATTCACTTGCTCTCAGCCCTGGATGCATGTTAGAGCCGCCCAGAGAGTCCAGACTACAGACAGAGCAATTCAACAGAATCATGGGTGGGACCCATGTGCCTTGGTGCCAGCCTGGAAATCACTGGAGCCAGAGACCCTAACCTACATCTCACCAAGCCTTTCTTACCAATTTGTTTGAAATTAGTGATCTAGGCACAGGACTCCCAGCTAGGGAGACTTCTTGGCAGAAGGTCAGGGTTGTTATTTCTTATTAAGCTAGATAATAGATACTTTACAACTGGAAATAGGTCATGGGGAAATACAGGAAGCGATGACTTGGCAGTCACATACGTATAGATACCTTGTTAAAATCCAAGCTCTCAGGGGTGGGGAGTGGGGTGTTCTGATGGCACTGCATTAGGTTATCTCCCTGGCTCTAAGTGTGAACCCCAGCCCTCCAGCATTAGTGTCATCTGAAGTCACTTCAGAAATGCTAATTCCCGGTCTGACTCTGACTCCTGCTTGAGCTTGAGTCCGGACCCCAGTGTGCTGGTTTAATAAAACCTCTTGCTGTTTGCATCAATTTAAAAAAAAAAAAAAAAAAAAAAAAAAAAGCTAAGTCCCAGTGTTGTCATAGGAACTGAGTGGGAATCTGTGAGATGGGTCACAGCAACCTGTTAAACTTTCAAAGTGATTCTGAAGCCCACCTTTGAGAGCCACTGGTCTACTATAGGATTCCCAGCTCTGTTGGATTAATCTTGGCCTGCTGATGCACCTTGCTTCATTCCTGTATGCCAATCTTAATTAACCTCACTCAAGAAAGTGTCTTTGGAAAAGTCAGTCTTAAAATACTCAATAGAAAATTGGATCAATAGGGCTGAGAAATGGCTCAATGGTTAAGACTATTTGTGCTTGCTGAAGGCCTGGGTTCAGTTCCCAGCATCCATGTCAGGCAGCTCACAACTTTCTGTAACTCCAGCTCCGTGAGATCTGATGCTCCTCTGTGGGCACCCCTCAGCCACATCCAGCTATCCCCACACATACATTAATTCAAAAATAAAATGAACCTTAAAGGTGGACCAAAAGCACGTACAGATAATTGAAGAAAGAGAGAAGTACCATCTGCAAAATGGTCCTCAAGAGAGCCTGTAGCAAACAGATGGCTTTCCTGAGTCCTGTGAATTTGCTGAAGACAATGCCAGAAAGGAAACTTTTAGGGCCGTGACTTGGGAATGCCTATGACAGCTTCAGGGCTGTTCATGCAACTGATCTGGTCAAGAATCAGAATCCAAAGAAATATTTCCCAGTTTTAGTATAATAATAATCACCTGGGAATAAATATCCCAGGAGGGAAAATACACAACTAATGATGGCACAGTCTCTTTAAGGCAATCTTAGGAGAGATGAAGGGTACGGAAAGGTCACTCTGTGGACATGGTGAGGGGATTAAAAACAGGTTTATTATATGGCACATAATGACTAAGAAAATGGCCACTGAAAAGTCCCCAGGAGCCTTCTAAGTTTTCCTTCTAAGGCCAGACATTCTGAATTCCCCCAACCATTTGTCCTTGGAAGATGAGTAAAGTTCCTGAAGTCCGAGCTGCTCACCTGTGCAGGAAGCCTTGGGGACAATGTACAAAATATACAAGGGATACTTCATTATATGTCACATAGGTTCTGCTTTGGCACTGCCATGTTGGAGGCATGGGTCTAGCTTTCTGGGTTGAGAGGGTCACCATGGAGATGGGGAACCATGATGCCAAGCTAACAGAAGTTTGTTAAGTGGAGGGGATGGGAAGGCACAGCAAGCAGAGAAACAGGACTATTGGGACAACAGCAAGGTCCTAGCATGTTGAGGGCTCAGTGAGTGTCATGTGACTGGCATCTGGAGTTGCTCAGAGAATGAGAGTGAATAGCAGATGAAATAGAAAGGGAGACTTTTCTCGGTCAATCCAAGATGTTGGAGCTTCTTTTTCCCCTTACTTCTTGCAAGTCAGAAGTGAAAAAGGACACACTGAAGGCTTTGTTTTAGAAAGGGCACCCCTGTGGCTGTTTACTGGAAGCAGGGATTGGTGCAAGCAAGGGACCCCTATATAGTAAACTTAAAATGTTAGGATCCTTTGGGGCACTGGCTTGCTATTAAATAGTTCTGTCACTTTCTCATTTACACTGACCTAGAGATTTCCTGGTGGGATTCAAGGAACCATGGACTGTGCGCTTCTCCAGGGCTGAAAGAGGGTGTCAGGTGGGGAAGCAGCCACATCTGTTATGTGGGGCGTGGTCAGCTCTGAGGTGATGGGCTCAAGTTTCTATAGGCCTTGCACTGGTGGGCTGGGCCTACACCTGTCTGTCTTTCCAGGTGTCTGGAGAAGGACCAGACAGAAGCCAAGGGGAGGAGCTACCAGGCTTCAGGAGTTACAACACTGCAGCAGCTCAGAGTGTGGCTGAGACTTGTTTTTGTTTTGCTTTATAGGAAAATTCAGAACCTGTGACTCTTGTTCACAGGCACATGGCTGGTGGGAGTGGCTTCGAGTTGATGGAAAATGTGGTCAGCCCCATAAATCTTGTGCAGTCATCACCACACGTCTGTAGTGAGTGTCCTGAGGTTATGCAAAACAAAGCAGGGGAGGAGCATGGCCAGCCACGGTGGTCTTTTCTGTCCTTGAACTCTCTTAAGCATGCCTGTGGGGAATATTAGCAACAGGCACCTCAGGCACACCTGTGTGTGTGTTTGTGGGGGCGTTTCTTAGCCTCAGGTACACCTGTGGGGGGTTCTTAGCCTCAGGTACACCTGTGGGGGGTTCTTAGTCTCATGCACACTCGTGGGGGGGGTCTTAGCCTCAGGTACACCTGTGGGGGGTTCTTAGCCTCAGGCACACCTGTGGGGGGTTCTTAGTCTCAGGCACACTTGTGTGGGGGGGGGGTTCTTAGCCTCAGGTACACCTGTGGGGGATTCTTAACCTCAGGCACACCTCTAGGGTTCTTAGCCTCAGGCTCTATGAGGGACTATGTTGAGTAGGTTAACTGAGGTGGGAAGACCCACACTAAAGGTGGGCAGCCCAGTTCCCTGGGTCCTGCACAGGAAGGAGGGGTGAGCTGAGCTCTAGCATTCACCTCTCCCCACTTCGGGACTGTGGGCACAATATGACCAGGACAATATGACTTCTTCCATGATGGACTTTAGCCTCAAACTGTGAGTTAGAATGCATGCTTTCTCTCCTAACTTGCTATTTATTTATTTATTTATTTATTTATTTATTTATTTATTTATTTCGGTGTGTGTGTGTGTGTGTGTGTGTGTGTGTTCTGCCCGCATGTATATAAGTGCACCCACATGTGTGCCTGGTGCCCACAGAGCCTGGAAGAGGGCAGTGGTGTGTTACAGGTGCTGTGAGCAGCCATGCTGATTCCCGGAAAGAGCAGCCAGGGCTCTAACTGCTGAGCCTTCTCTTTAGCTCCCATACTGAGTCATTTGTCTTGGGGTATCTTATCATAGCAACAGGGAAAGAAAGCAATACAGACAAGAGGTTACCAGTACCTGCCAGCTGTCCCACTACATGGTTACCATTATCAAATTTACAAAGATGAAACACAGAGGCTGGGGGGTTGCCTGAAGTTTTCCTTGCCAAGAAGTTACTTCATTTTTAATCTGCCTGACTCAAAGGAGTCCTTAATGAGACACCTTTATTCTGTGTGTGGGTCAATGGGCCAGGTTCCCAAGAAAGATGCAGGTGGCTGGAAGCTAAGAGAATTTTGTTCTGAGCCTGGATGTGAGACCACTCCTAAAATGGGGCATTATTCATTTCTTTTGTCTCCATTAACAAAGAGAAGATGCTGGCTGCCTAATTTCTAGGGCGGCACTGCCTGTATAACTTCCCTAGTGGGAGACTATTCAGGTTGGCCCCTGATAGATCCTGGTCAAACCCCCTTGGAGTAGAACCCACCCCACCCCTAGAGTCCTGAACAGCTGGCCAATGCCCATGGGCAGATGGCTGGAGCTCTCTGCAGCCTTCGTGCCTCTCCTGGGTTGCTGGCTCTGTGTCTCGCCAGTGGCCTGTGTAGATGATGACCGCAGACCTCCCGCTGGAGGCTGCCTGCAGCAAGAGCCTACCTGGAACTGTCATTCACTTCACTCTAGACTGAAAATCTCAAGTTCTAGGAAGCAAAACCTGGTGTATTGCTGTCAAGTCCTTTTCAGAAAAGCAAGTCCAAACACAAGGTCTGGCAACAACCAGGAGTTAAGAAATTAGCATCTGATTTGTCATCAGAGGAAACAATAGCTGGAGTTGTACATGAGCAGTTATTCTGGCATTACTGAAACAGAGGGAAA